CAGTCTTGCAAGGGCTACAGGGGGCGGCCTCCATCCCCTTGGACGCCTTTTCAGTCTCAGATAGGGTCTTTTCGGATGTTATGGACATTTCAATAGAGCCTGAGGAGCGTTCGCCCCGATGCTTTGACGGCCGTGGCTCGTTTGATGAGGACAGGGGTGGCCCCTCAGCGCGCCGACAGGGAAGCGTTCGCGTTTGGCGCCGTTATTGGTGTCGACGGCTGTATGAGCTTCTTCATGAGGCTCGATGTGGGTTGGAAGTTGTGAACCACTTTGATACCCTGTGGCCTAGAACTCATCACCGGCTGATGGATCTGCAACAGCATAATATGGAGTTTGAACGGTCGTGTAGTAGAAACTTCCCTTTTTCTATACCAACACCTAGTCCATTCTCTGATTCGACAGTGCCTGTTGCTTTTAAACCTGAATGCACATGTATGGCGGTGGCAGTACAAAATTCTGGCTTCGATTCAGAATCATGCCGTGTATTTCTACACGACTTGGCCGCCCCAGGTTGCTTCCCATCGCTTCTTTCAGCTTTAACTGAGAATGGTGATGATGGTAGAGGATGGGCTTCAGGAGTAAGCAATAATAATTCTGAATTGCAGATGATTTACATAAGAGCTGATATATCTACCTCTGAAGAAATTCCACCATCATGCCCTGGTTGGCCTCTGCCTATTGTGTATAACAAAGATTCCAATGATCAAAGTGTCGTGGTCAAAGTGCAAATGCCACCGCGTGTTTCCGCGGATCGTTTGCAGAGTGATCTGGTGTATTTGAATTTGTTCCTATGAAGATAAGGGTGGAGGTCAAACCCGGAGGTATATTTTTATGATTTTATGTCAATATTCAGTTTCGCTGGCGAGTTTACTTGCCGAACATTCTCCATTCTTTTCATTTTTTGTTTGATATTTTTTCAATTGATATTCTGCTATCATTATTCTACAGATCGTATTCAATGCTAAAGCGTTGCTTTTTCCCATAAACTAATCATTTTGTGGATAGTATGATTGCGTGTAAAGTGAGCATGGGCTCAAACTATTGAGAGAGGGGTCATGCAAATGTATATTGAGGAGTATCAAAGGTTTATACACATCGTTTGATTCCCTTTAATTTATTTTTATTTGCTCTCAGAAACAAACACAGAAAGGATTTAGCAGCACAAAGCATCATATCTGCTTTGTCGTGATTTAACTTTATTACTTTATTTTAGATTTATTCCAAATACACACATGTTATGCGTAAAACCTAAAAGGCGCAGTGAAAAAGTTAGCTTTATTATCTGAGCACTTATACACCCTTAAACACATTTGAACGCTACTACCCAAGCGGTTGAAGGTCTATTTTCCAGTTCACTCTCCTCTCCCTCAACTCATAGGTGTGAGCACGTAGAGGCCCCAAGGGGAAGAAATGTTGCAGCAAACGTTAGAAACCCACAGATACACGGGTTCATCCACCCCACGATGCACCTACCAGGATGTCTACGACACCGCGCTGCTGAGGGGCGCCACGAAGGCCTCGGGCCGTGGGGCCCTGTCCAAGGCGAAGCGCAAAGGCCCCCGCCGCGGCAGTCCCCTTCAACGGCCCAAGACCAGCGCAGCCGCGGAGCCAGTCCAGGATTCTCCCTTTCGGGTCTCAGTCCTAGATTCCCCTCAAGCGCGTGGCGATGTGAGTATCACAGCGAACCCGACCCCTTTGCCTAGG